GAAGAGGGAGGCATCAGAGGAGAAGGGGGAACAAAAGGCACAGGAGTGGTGGGGAGGGGATGGGAGGGGAGAGATGTGGGGAGAAGGCACTCAGATGTAATTAAAGTGGCTGAGTGGAGAGGCTGCACCTCGCCCCCTCCCCTCCACATATGGAAGGTTTATGAGTTTATGAATACAGTATAGATGCACTGTTAGAGGTGCCAATGTCACTGGGGGGCTGCAGAGTGATGTCGATGCTGCATGCAGCAGACCCTTTTAAACATCCCGAGCTCCACTCACAAGTCCTCCATGATGTTCCTGATCCAGATGCTGAAAGATAAAAGAACCTACAAATTCAATCAAACACTTCTAGCTTAATAAGTTCAACTATTTGTCGATTTTCTATTACAACCATGTATCTATACTATACATACTACTACCTTTATCCATACTTGTAGAGTACTGCTTAAGTGACATGTTGGTGTAAGCATCACCCCGGTTCCCTAGACAAAAAGTAAATCCCAATTTCTCTATTATTTGCATAAAATAGGGCAAAGTTCATATACTGATAAAATGACCTTTGATACTATCCCGGACTGACGAACCCTTAGACACGCCTAATTTGCTGGAATGACTTAATTGGTGTATTACTGCTATGCACTCAATTTATGTACGAGTATATGTGAGCACTCATTTACAACTGCCATGTATCAAGATCATTTCTTAACTGTCAGAGGTGACCTATCGTGTTTGTTTTGTTTCCTTGTTTTGTTTTACCAGACAGGTGCGTTGTTTACTCTCCTTCTCTAATCTTGTATTTCTTACCTGTTTTTGTATTACCTAAAGCCCAATGTGATACTCTGTATGATACTACTGTTGTCTGTTATTTGTCTGAAAACCCAATAAAAAAAGTATGGGAAAATAATTAAAATATACAATAGGACAAAGTTTTATGATACCTGACATTTTCATACTAAAAATCACTGATCAGATGGTATACCTACAAGCCAAACAGCAGGTCTTTGTGTGACTACGGTAGTTTGACATTGAAAGACCTTACAGTAGGACAGCTTCCTTCACTTTAGTCCTTGTGCAGTCAACAGTGTCCAAGCAGCTTTGCCATTTTTCTATTTTGTTGACAGTACAAATAGCCTTCTTTAACCTTTGATGTCAAGTTCTACAGGAAAAGACAGGAAGGCTTCTTGTGAACTTTGATGTTCAACCTTGATCATGACATTTCCATCAAATAGATTTGGCACAAAGTAGCACTGTCAGAGAAGCTATCAGGACCAGGCACTATGAGCACATGTGGTGAAAGCTCACAAATCCCAATAGAAACGGGTGGCGGTAAGAGTTTGAAAGGGAGTTAAACATCCTTTGGTTCAGAATGACCTGTTGAACTGATTTCTGTCTCAGAAAGGCAATAAATACTGCAATGTTTAGCCCTACAATTTGTTATAAAATGATTTGATTATTAGATTAGATATACTTTATTGATCCCAATTTGGGAAATGTTTTAATGGTTGTGAGTGTGTGGCTTTTACCTGTGCCCTTTGATTCCCCTTCAACACAACATTTGCCCTTCTCAGAAGTTCAGGACTTTTGATGTGCGAAACTTCACAGAAATTAATGTTCTGCCATCAAAAAACAGAAAGTGTGAATGTGTCCGTAAGGTACCGATGTGTGATAAGAAGTGTTTCTTTTGAACCAGAATTACCATTGATATTGCAAGACCCCCCTAGTAGATCTTTGAATGTGGTGATCACAGCTTTCAATGTACCATGACTACATCCAACCGCTCAAAATGGACTAAAACACAAAACGTGGAGCTCAATCACACACACAGCGGGGGGGGCACAGACACAAACAGGACCTCTCTCCTCTAACAGAAAAGAAGCTTACTTCTTAGTCTCTTTTCCTTTTTTCCTGTCTTTTCATCTCCTGTTTGATTTGAAACAGCCTTTCACGCCTCTATCGCTAATGTAGCGAATAGGCTCCCATTGTTAATGTTACAGCATTATGAGTTCCCTTTGTGTGTATCCTCTCTGCTCCTAGAGGACTGCACTGAAACCTGATAGGCAGCGTAGGGTGGCAGTGGTGGGATCTCTCTATTTGTGCTTTTTTTCCCTTACTAGGTAATTATGGAAATAATTCTTCTTTGTTTTGGCCTTTCTCTTCTGAGAGTCCAGTTCATAATTAATTGGTAGCTGAAAGACTGGCCAATTTTAAATCACAAAGCAGGGGTCGAGGGGGCTTGTTTTATTGGCTGGTGCCTGTTTTGGGCGGCGGGCGGAGCATCTGAATTAGATTAGATTTAATTAAGGCACAGGGCCTCTGACTACACACTAGTTCATAAATAGGCTGTATGCCAGGCTGGTTGTTGTTGGGAATTCAAAAGCATGTGTGCACATACCCTCTTATTTCCCTCTCACACGCACACACACACACTCACACACACTGCTGAAGACTCCCCGAGGCCTTCAAGGTCAGGTAGACAGAGGAAACATGCAGCATGGTGTCTGGAAGAACAAGAAAACACACTCAAAAAAAAAAGTCCTCCTCTATTGACAGCCAGCCGCTGTGTCCACAAAATTGCTCTGACAAATATTGACTTTGAAAGACTCTCCAACCCCAAGACACCTTTCGGGGAATGAATAGTTTGACATTTTGGGATATACACTCACACACACTTTCCTGTTGAGAGTTGATCAAAAGATTGGTATCACTCTCATTTCTCAGGTTCAGGTTCTTTATTTGTACCCGTAGGTAGATTTTGTTTGCAGAGAAAAAGACAAGGGATCCATCCTGACACACTCTAAAAACAAACACAAACAACTGACACATCTCTAATAAAAGGACTAATAAAAAGTACAAGTACACCCTGCTCCGTCAAATCTCAAAATATTTCAAAAACATTTAAGAAGAAAAACACTAGTATAAACATGGACATTCAAAATTCATAATTAAATAAATAAATAGGCATCTGTGTGACACTCCTATGATGTGTTAATGTGTGCAATAGCTGCTGGGATAAAACTGTTTTTATACCGCTTCGTTCTACTCTTTGGGACAAGTAACCTCCGGCCCGAAGGAAAAAGCTTAAATTCTGAGTGCAGAGGGTGGGAGTCATGGTCTAATATGGAGCTGGATAACCGCTGTAACTGCCTGAGGTACAGGGTCTCCAGGTTTAGCTGTGGCTCACCAATCAGTCTGCTGGACCCCCTCTGCTCTTTAAAGTCAGGTTACCAAACCATGACATTAGTGTAAAAGACAGAATTGACTCGATAAAAGCACGATAAAACATGATCATCATGGTTTTGTCAATGTTAAAATAGGACAGTTTCCTAAGACAGTACAAACGCTGGTGCCCCCTTTTGCACACAGCTTCACAGTTTGGATCAGAGCTCAATTTTGAGTCAATAATTGTCACGAGATATTTGTATGATTGCACAAATTCTACTTTGCCAGCTGCTGGCTGTAGCTTTCCCAAAATGTGGAACTATTCATTAACTTACACATTGTGACCCTTATTAAATGTGTGATTTGAATGCTAGTACATATTTAAGAATATTACATAATCTACTTGGAAGTAGAGTTACCTCTCACAGGCATGTAAGTCTTTGTGATCATATTCATAATTCACCATTACAGGGTCACACTGGTTGACTTTCTCTGGAGCTCTACAGGTTTCATTTAAATCCCCTTGTAGCTCTATCTTGTACATGTGGTGGGAATCTCTATCCTGCGCTAAACACATCCCCCAAGAGCCTGTAAGTCTATATAAGCCTGCAATACTTCAAAAGGTCTAAAAAGGCTTGCATGCTTTGCAGTTTCATTGGATCGAATCCTTATAGATGGAAGCATTTTCAGACTATCGATTAAACCACAAGATATCTTGCCATGGTCATTTATTGGCAAGCTTTGCTGGATGTATACTCGACTGTCTCCAATTGGACAGAGATATGATTTATTTGTCATGTATATGAGGCATTATACACAGTCTGTTAAGCAGTAACACAGAAATCTCAAACACAAAGCATAGAAAATTGTTCCGATGGGTGTTTTGAACTTTTTAGGAGGCACATGGCGGTTTGATGTTTACGGACGCCTGAGGCATTACTGTAATTTGAACTGAAACAGCAACTGTAAAATACTTTTATGTAGCTCATTGCTCATTAGCCCAGCCTTACTGCAGCTTCGTAATAAAAAGGATTCCTTCCACTCTCCTTCCCTCTCTCCTCGGTTCAACGGTACTGTCTGCCTGTGAGCAGCAGGAACACCATTTACACCAGCCTCGCCCCAGAGTGCCTGATTGAAATTCTCACTCTATATTACCAGTCAACGGAAATGTTTAAGTGCTATTCCCTCTTCCCATCTGGAATAATAAGCTGCAGTGCTCCCTGGCATTACAGCTCTCCCTCTCCTCATTTCAGGCAGCCAGTTGGCTGCTCTGCGTTTCTTACCACTGGCCATGGCATTTATCGCCAGCGTTAAGTTCCCTGCACTTCTAAGTAGTTTGCCGTTTCCCTGCGACAAACATGGTAATGTGTGACCGCCCCTGGTGTGCCTTCTCTCATCTTCAATGCCCTGTTTTATTTAAAGCTGCTGTAAGCTGTTTGGTCGTCACAAATAATTATTTTGCCTCTTTTCCCTTCTTAAGAGTGAGGTCCATACTTGTGAACTGTGGTCTCAAAACTGTGCTCCGCTCTAAACATGCTGCTCCAGCATGTCAGACTGTTGTTATGCTTGTTATGTGGCGCTCTCATCTCCAAGAGAGGCTGCCTCTATTGACTCACAGAACACATTTCAGGATGAACCTAAGATACTATTAGCTGCTTGATATTCATGCCTGTCTCTGCAACTCCACCTCTCACCATTGTATTTCCTCAACCACCTATTACCTTGTTTCCCTCTCAATTGGTATGCCCTTCATTGGCCTCCATTCACCACCTCTCATGCTCTCATTTCGCCAAGCTCCTAAATCATCCATCCTTAATTACCTTTTCGTCTCTCCCCCACAGAAGCTCCGGGGCAGGACTTTGTGACTCTGGACTATCGCCTGCGCTACTACCCCAGCATCACGTACGCCGTCATTGGCAGCGCCGTCATCTTCGTCCTGGTGGTGGCGTTGCTCGCCCTGGTGCTTCATCACCAGAGGAAGCGAAGCATCCTGCTGCCCAGAGGCGTGAGGGGGAGCTTGCACCACCACCACCAGCCCCTGCTGCTGTCCCGTCTGGTCATTTTGGAGCGGGGCCACGTCCATCCCGGGGGTCCAGGCTTCTCCCCCGGCTCCCCCACCGCAGCGGGCCAGTACAGCTCAACTCCTCAGGCACTACATCTGCTGTCTGGGACCCTTTATCCCTCCGGACTCTCCATGGACTCACCTCCATCCTACTCACAAGCTGTTCTGGATGTCAGGTGAACAGAATAACAGCTGTATGAGAGTTTATAATCCAAGTATTATAAACTCTAGTTTAGTAGTAGTGGTGGTAGAAGTTGTCTCTATAGCTAAATCTAATTTAGTATATCATTTAACATAATAAACTGTAATTGAATTTTCCTCTACTAGGCTGGGTAATCTTTTACAGTTATATATTATTTATTTAATTATGTAAAATAAATTATTTGATAAAGGATTGCTGCTAAACATACATTATTTAAAATAACTTATAGTGAACATTGCTCTTGAGAATGAAATACTGATTAAAGTCATCACTTTCTCTGCAATTACCTGCTTCAAAATTAATCACTCAGGATCAATATGTGCAACCTTTGTTCAAATTCAAAATAAATTGGGGAAAAAAATCAAATGTTGGGAATGAGAGTCTTACAGGTGTTCTTAAATATTCATGTGATCACCAGCAGAGTGTGCTTCCTGAATGTTGCTGCTGGTCAAAGTAAAAGAAAATCCAACACTCATGGTCCTGACATCACTTTCTTCTTCTTCTGTCTTTACCCCCAGTCGGCCTCCCTGGTTTGATCTCCCTCCACCTCCGTACCTCGCAGAAGGAGAGCTTCCATCGGAGGGCGAGCTGCCTCAATACGAGGGCCCACAGGACCCTTTGAGCCTCCCCACAACGCATCTCTCTGCACCCTCAACACCCAGAACTGTGGCCTCAGGCACGCAGCCCACTTCCAGCTCCAGAGGGGAGTCGGAGCAGCCGTAGCCTCTCTGTTGGTAGAACTAGTCAGAACTCAGAGACTGTAGGACTGACGGAGCAGGCTGCAGGGCCACGAGGCCAGGACAGTCCAGAGGAAAGCCCTGCGATGGAGAATCCACAGGGACTGAGAGACTAAATGATGCCCTAAACTCTTGGGCTGATTGAAGCACTGGACTGAGAGGAGCTCATCCTGCGAGACCAATGTTGTGTGCTGGCTCCCCCTACTGAGGTCATGGCTGCACTACACCCTCATCTGTTAGACGTTCATTCATTTCTCTACAGTTGGCTTCAGTTGACGTGCGCTCCCCTTGGAAATATACTCTGTATGATGCATTACAGTTACCATAGCCTGCATCTCTAAAGAGTTAAACTTACACTTATTATGAAGATATTCATTAACCTATCACATAGGATGATAACTGAAAAGGTTGTTGTTTTTTATAGTAGTTTATGGAGTGGTGTTATTCTCCAGTTTAACTCACTTGGAAGGTACTTACAGCGCCATGCACCATTTTGCAATACTCCTTACCATACTTCACATTTCACATCCACAATGTTTTCCATAGTGGGCTTTATAAGAGATTTGTATTGTGTTAAAGTGGACCTATTATGCTATATTGGAAAAAATATATTGTAGGGCCATACCTATGCAAAACATGTCTGTGAAGGTTTTTGCTTAAAATACCAAACAGATCACCCATTGTAGCCATGCCTCATACTGCTCATACCCCTCTTTTGCAGCCCTGTTAGAGAAACGCGGATTTTGGGTCCTTAGCTTGAAAAAAAAAAAAAAAAGAGGAGGCGGAGCTAATGCCTGATCAGAATTCTACCGGAGATAAAGTTAAATTCTGCTGTGATAAAACGCCATCCTGTTCTAAACCACATCAAAGATTATTTATGAAACAGTGTGGAGCTCAAATGCTTTTTCTCTTGCGGGTTTATCACAAGGTGAGTTCCTTTTTTTAGTTCCTGCTTTTTAAACACATGTGCTCCACAGTACAGGTTGCTAATGTAAACAAAGACGAGATAAAAAACACGTCAGGCATTGTTTCTGATAGCAACTTTCTGTGGGTCCGCCGCCGATTTGACGTCATATCGGCAGCAAATCTGTATCCGCTCGTTGTACCCCCATTTTTAAAAGATTTGGGTACGGAGGAAAAGAGAAAGGGTTTTATTTTTCTGACGCTGCGTGAGTTCCCCGGCGCACCGGGGACACATATTTATGTATAAAAGACATCAAAAAGTGCATTTTGCATGATAGGTCCCCTTTAAGATTGCAAATTACCTGACTGACAGATAAAGTATGTACTTTTTAGAATCACTGCTACATTTGATGATTTAATGTACTTTGTAATTTTTAGCTATGGTATGTTAATGCCTTATTTTCACTGATGTCGACACATTTTTTAAGTCAAAGAGAAGACGATACAGTAGTCTGATTTTAATAATAGTGTAACAGAAACACGTACACTCGTGATGTACAAGAGCAGCTCAATCAGAGTGTTTTTCAGTGTTGAACCATGACCTAATAATAGGACTACAGTATGTTGGTTATAGTACAAATCAACACTTTGTTACTCTTTCAGTGGTACTTTAAACTAAACTCATATACTGTAAGCAAAATGTTTTCGTGAGACATATCTAGGTGAGGTGTGGAGGAATATTTGTTTTTGTCATTTGGTTAACGTCAAACCTAAACCGTGAAAAGGACCATTGAGATTTGTTTAAAATAATATTGAGCAGAAATTATATATATATATATATATATATATATATATATATATATATATATATATATATAGATATATATATATATATATATATATATATATATATATATTATATATATATATATATATATATATATATATATATATATATCTATATATATATATATATATATATATATATATATATATATATATATAGAGGTACATATCCTTACCAAATTAGCTTCATTAATCATTCCTCTAAGCAAAAGTATCACCTCTTGGTAAATATAACGTTTTATTACATTTCTGATTAAAGACCAATAATGTTTCTTTATGTAGACAAAAATAAATCCAGATGATTGTGTTGAGGCCTCAGTGTTTGTTAGTTTGGCCCTTTGTATGTGAAATGTATGATGGCAAAAATCCCCTATTTAGATCCTCTAAAAACGGTCCAGTAGTAATCTCACACAACAACATTGAAGAATATCATGACCTATATCAGACTGTTCAGACTTTTGTATGTATATAACTGTGTCATTCTGGAAAATCATCCTCAATAGTATTAGACAATGACAGATGAGTTCCTATCTGAAGGATCTGTGTTTAAATATGTTCTTTTGTTTTTTGACCTTTCTTCGTTCATTACAAAATGTTCAACACTGTACATAGGAATATGTATGTAAAGAAGTATTTAAAAAGTAGAGTGTAAAGCCTGAGGTGAATGTGTAAATGTAGTTGTGCCTTGCATCTTTCTTTTCCTCCAGGGCCAGCAGTAGTAATGCAGGCAGAAGAAAAACAATAAAACCAAAGATAATCATTTGTAACCTTACCTTAAAGGTGGGGTAGGTAATTTTGGAGAAACCGGCTCGAGTGCTCTGGAATTTGAAAATACACAACGGGAAAAAATCTGCCACTTCCTTACAGAGCCCCTCCTCCAACACACACGAGCGCGCACATGACCAACGAGGGCACGAGATAAGTTTGTGCACAGATGGAAGGCTGACAGGCAGGTAGGCCATCCAGTTATTTTAGCCGGGCCGGCTAAAATGATTGGTCGTACTTTTTACAGTATTACGGCTTCCACAGATGACATTTTTTATGGATTTTTTGTCAAAGCACTTAAGATATTCATTGCTATCGGGATGTTAAGAGCATTCCATGGAATATAACAAAAAGTGTATCTCGAGCCGGTTTCTCAAACTTACCTACCCCACCTTTAAGGATACTACCCTCCAAAGGAATGATTATGTTTCACACTGTTTGCACCTTTTAATATGTTAAAAAGTGCAAAGGCCTATAGAGTAAAACAGAATTGATGTTATTTGCTGTAAAACTGGAAAAACAGTTCTCAGGACGAAATATATACCAGCCTGTCTGTTGTTTGTTTCTGGGTTTTTTATTAAGGAAAGATCAAACATCGTTATTTCTCTGATTTGGTCTCATGAGGTTAATTATCTGCATTTGTTACGTTGCCTATCATGATCTTTTTACCACCTTGTATTCTTTATTTTGAAAGTAATATAAAATTCTGACTCAGATCGTGTGTGTGGGTCTTTCCTGGAAATCTCATTGTACGGTTTCTCTGGAACTTAACGTATTCTAAAACCATGTGTATTGCAAAGTATGGAGCTTTACCGCAGAACCAAACTTAGAACACAGTTCCCTAGATAATAAAGATAATAAATGCTGCTGAGTCTACACTGTGGGTAGAAACAAATAAACATTCTTTGGTGGAAGAAAGAAATGTTACTCAAGTTAGTTGTAGAAGTGTTATCAGATGAATGTTCTCGTACTGCAGTAGAAGTGGCCTTTGTGACTGAATATTATTATTAATTACATTATTAGTTCATCCTGATGCAAAAGTGTAGAGGCAGCATTATACTGTTGTGGAGCTTCCTTAGCTTCTTTTTATACAGTGGTTTCCAACCTGCAAGTTATTCTGCAGGACAAATGTGTATTCATATTTTAGAATTGTTTTATTGACTTTCTTTGCAAAAAAACAAATTCATAATTCTAACTTAATTGGGATTGAAACTATATCCTGAATGAAACAATGACGCATAAGCCAAAGTGTTTGAGATCAAGAATGTAAAATTCTAATCTCCAGTTTAACAAGTTGTTAAATTGTTGTGTCCAATAAATGTAGTTAAATATAAAGTACAATATTTCTGTTTCAAGAGAGTTTGAAATAAAAAGGAAATAAGTGAATATACCTAGTTTTGTTTTCATCACGGAAAACCTTTAACAACATTTATAAAGCCTTTAATGGAGTAAAGTTATAGTCAGTGAAATGAAAGCAAATATCATTAAGCTAGGAAGCTTTGTGTCCCCTCGAGTATTCATATTTCCCTTCATGCATGTAGTTTCTTTGCGCTGGCAGCAGAGCCCTGCAGTTCTTCAGATCCACCTCTAGAGGTCACCATGTCCCCATAATGAGACAAAGCTCTGTGCAGAAGGTCCAATGTGCAAAAACTGAAGCTCTTCATATTTTGTTCTGCTACAATGTAATCTAATATGTTCTGTCAAAGTAGCTATTGATATATTTCTTGTAAAAATGTTAAAGCTCAGATTTGCATATATCTAAGATTCATGGCAACTATCTACATCTCTTATGACACCTAGTTCACTGAATACATGAATAGTATGAATATTATCTCGCTAGTCGCCTCCTATTTTCATTGTAATGTCCCTGAAAACCCTGCATCTCATCCCGCCCCTCCCACCCCAATATCCGCATCACATTATGATACATCAGATAACATGTGATATCATCTCTGACACCCATCCCCTCTCCTGTCCTCCCCGGTGCCTCTAGCTGCCCCTCGCATCCTTGAAGTCCTGATCATCCTTCATCTGCCCTCACTCGTACATCTCTTCTGTTCACCCCCCTTGCCCCTCCTCCCTCCTTCAATGTTCGGCGCTTTTCTCTCATGGCCCCGCTCTCCTTTACCTCATCTTAAACTCTGATGCTGGAGGCCCATGTTTGCTTAGCCCGAGCCCTTAACTACACAGACTTTAATTAAAAGCCTGCACGCTTCTCTTTTGCTGCCCGTCCTCTCTCTGTCTGCCCGGCAGCTGGTGAATTGGCAGAAGGGATATTTCTTCATATGTTGAAAACATTTTAAGTTATGCCCCCATGAGATCAAGCCAAATTTCTCTTGAGTCAACTGACCTTTAGTGCGCAATCAAGCAGAGAGCCGTAGAGAAGATGCAAATGATGACAACATGGAAGAGGAGTAATAGTTGAGTTGGCTGTCGTGGTAGCAGAGAGGAAAGTGGTGACGCTCATCTTCATGTAGATGAGGATTATTGTTAACAGACACCATGGCATTATTCCAAGGTGATGGTGAAAAGAGACTACTCTTCCTCTCTTGGGGGTCTTTCATTTGGCATTACCGTGGCCGTTAGCTGTTGGATAAAATACAAGTGCCATTTAGCCGGCTAATATACTTCTCACAATAAACCTTCATTCTTTCAACTAGTGCTGAAAAAGATCCTTGAGGTTACTATTAATATAATATATTTGATATGATCATGCGGTGGTAATGGTTCTCTCCTGGAAATAGGAAAATATATAAAGCCCAAGTAGGGATATAATATACATTTAGCCACATAAGTGTTCCCTCATGCAGAAGGCCACTTTTGCTCCCATATAGGAACATGCACTCACTTGGCCGGTGTGCCATAGCTCCAGTTCACTGGAGATAAGACCCAGTGTTTTCACATGTAAATGGTGTGAGCGTGGAGGGGAAGGAGGGTGTATTGTTAGCATGGAGCGGCTCTGAGGAGCTCTGCTGAGGGTTTGGCCAGCGCGACCCTTATCAGATGAAGAGCAGGCCTCTGAGGGAAGGAGGGGTCGGCGAGGGGCGAGGGCTGGGTAGGGTTGAGGGGGCCAACAGGAGAATAGAACAGCTGGCGGAGTCACGCGTGCAACCCCAAAAACACACAGA